TTTGGAACACTCATGTTGCAAATGATCAGCAACAGAGTGTTAACAAGAATGAGAGTGGAACACAGATGAAAAGGAATGCATATACCATAAAGTTACAATAGTAGATTGACCTCGAAAACTATGGACAACTATACATTTTTTGTGTGCGTTAGGGTGGGGGTGGGGGTGGGGGGACTACAACACTAATGTTGATAAATTACAAAAGATAAGACAATTGAAACGCTCAATGCAGGGAAAAAAAAAGAACATATACTACTACTGTTATTCAACTTTCACCTCCTCCAATGATGATTAAGAGACTTCGCTGAACCTTGAAAAAAGTCCAGGAGATACTCTACCAAGTCCTCTTCTGTGTATTTGATGTACTTTTCACTGAGAGATTTTCTCACCTGTCCAGCAAATGTACGGTAGGCATGAACGACCCTTAACCCGATTGCACTATTCAAATCATCTCGAAGATCAATATCTGGAATAGTCCATCCTGTCTGGTTCTTATACACATCCTCAAAAGCAATACTGAAATTTCTGCACCTCTCCTTCAGAACTGCCTTCCCGGACTTCTCATAACCGGTTATCAAAGATATGATTGAACTCCATGTTTTTCTCTCATAGCTTTTTTCGTGCTGCACATATTTTACAATATGTATTTTTATCCACTCATCACCAAAACAGGTTCTGAGTTTGGAATTCTTGATTTTCTGGACTATGTAATGGATGTTGTTCATCAAAAAGATGTGCTTCAAAGAATCATCTTTATATAAATTGGACCTATCTTCAAGGTTGGATTCGAGCCTGGATGTTATTGACTGCAAGTGAAGAGCCAGTGGACATGGGAATTCGGATGAAATGTCGAGCCTGACCAGTGCATCGACAACTTCACCCGAATTCTCTACCTCTCTGTCCTCTAAAAGGAATCTCAGGGTAACATTATATTCTGACAGAAGCATGAAATAATTGATAACATACTTGGTCAGAGGATGAACACCTCCTCCTTGGAAGGGAGTTGTTGAAGTGTTTGAAGCAATACGATTCCCCAACCCCAGAAAGATTGCTTTTGCAGAATCTCCAAGTTTTTTCATGAGTTCATGGTACTCCACTTGAATGGAATTACCATGCTTTTCACAAAACAATGCATCCACATCTTGACAAAGACCTCTTAGAAGCTCATACATGTCGAGTAAACAAAAAAGACGTTCTGGTAGAAGGGGGCCAATAGCTACAGCTTGGCCAAAATTCAAAAGACACATCATGGCATCCTTTGAAACCTCAATGAAACATGTTGAACTAACAGATCCAAACTCACAAAGAATCTGATCAAAGAGGTTTTTCTCACTAGGGAGATAGAATGCAATGACATTCTTCGTTGCCTGACGCCACTTCTTAATCCTGCAATTCAAGCTTGCCCAGTCCATTCTCAGCACATCTTCAATGCTGATTTGTTGCATACAGAAAAGCCCCAAGTATTCATACAATGCATCTTTCCAGAATCTGATAAAAACTTGGCAAAATTCCTGAACATAATGTGAAGCGAACATCAGATCTGCAATGGACTTGATGTAAGGAACAACACCTGGATGGACCAAATCCATTATTATACATTCTTCTGATTCAGCTCTACTACTATCCAGACAAGATGTTCCCTCAACTGAGTCATCCTCAATTGAGACCATCGTCTCCTCATCAACGGCTATCTCTTCACAAGATTGGAACGACACATATGCATGCCCAAAACACTGCTTACTCTGCGCAAGAATATTGACAACTTCTTCCTGCAGCCTTACCATTGCAATTTGCAACGCACTGTGAGCTTGGTTAGTAAGTCTGCTTTGTTTCCTGTACTTGTTTGGCACCATACTTTCCAAGCTCACTATTATACTCCGAACTTCTTCTACATTTTGCAGATACTCAAGAAGTTGATTAGAAGGACCAGTATCCCATATCTTCAAACAATTTGACTGCAAGGACATGATCTTTGCCTGAGCTGACTTAAACCGACCTTCAATCTCTCTGAAACTTGTGGTCTCATCCTCTTTTGCTTCAGTCATTGCAGCCAAATGAATGTCAAGATCGGCTAGAGTTCTTCTAACTTCATCGCTCAAGCTTGTCCTGTCTTTTAACGCCTTCACAAGGTGATGAGCTGCAGCAATTACATGTTGATCCGCCGATTTATCGTCCTCCATTTTCAGGCAACACGTAAAACAGATTGATTTAAAGTAAAAGGCCTAAACTTTGGATGATCCTTCCTGACTGAATCTTGAAACCAACCTCAAGCTCTAATTTTTTAGGTAATCAAGAAGGACAAAAGGCTGCTCCCCACCCCTTAGATAAACCCCAAGTCCTCAACAGAATTCAGAACACAGACTAATGACCAGAAAATACCCCTCAAGTCCTCAAAAAGGTCAAGAATCTCTAATGAAATATGACAAGTTTCAACAAAGGACACAAAATTGGGATGTACATCTCTTAAACTCTTTCAGGGTCACTAACATTAAAAGATTAACAGCCATCAAGGAATGGGCATGAAAACTTATCAAGATAGTCATCAACAACCAAATATAGTTAAAAAGAATGTTAAAACCAAAACACAACAAAACCAAAGTTCAAGTGCTAAAAAGGGATTAAAAGACTGTGTAGCTAAAGCCAAGATTATGCTTGTTTCTTGGAGCTCTCTGCTCAAAGATTGGTTCTCTGAGTCCAGAAAAGGGCAAAAGATATCTAAAAAAACATAGTAAAAGGGATGATGAGATGTGAAGTTATTGAAACAAGAGTTTCTGAATAGAAAGATTATAGTACCTTTACGCGTTTTAGTGGAAGATAATGGCCCAATCAAAACAAGGACAAAAGGGTACATCGTATAGTGGTAGTATTGAGGAATGAGATTTGTTGTTGAATTTCCAACAAGTACTTTTCCATTAAAATACAAGAACTTTAGTGGTCAAAAGGGAAGAAGAAAGAAACTTCTTGTTGTACAAACTAAGAAAAAATAAATAATCAGCTAACCAAGACTAAAGACTAAAATTTGAAGTTGTTTCTTTCTCATTTAACTAACATCAAACACCATGGGTTGTGATACAGTGGTGCGACTATTTCACCCTTAATCAATTCAGCTAACCAATGTGGACTTAAAACACAGTTTGTCGAAACTCCAATGTGAGCTTCGGACACCGAATGAAAAACCCAAAAAACTAAAATCACTAACAAATTTAGTAAAATCCTACTAAATGGGGTCTAAAGAGGATGAAGAGATTGTTTCCGAAAAATATTGAGCTCCAATACATCCTACCCAAGTACAATAAGAAGAAAATAATGCCCAAAGCATAACTAAAATCAGAATTTTCTAATTAATACTCCCTCCGTCCCTATTTACTTGTCCATATTTCCTTTTTTGGTTGTCCCTATTTAGTTGTCCATTTTGACAAATTAAGAAAGGACAACAATTTTTTCCTATTATACCCTTATTTACACTTCTTGAAAATTGTAAAAGTGTATGTTGTTTCCCTCCAATTTATTTCACTTGAATTCAAATAAGTGGTTGTAATTTTGAAGTGAAAAGTTGTCATAAGGGTAAAATTATAACTTCACTGTGCTAATCATTGTTGCCTTAATCTGTGTGCCATTTCTAAAGTGGACAACTAAAAAGGGACGGAGGGAGTAAGTAATTTGTAATTCTTGGGAGTTGTCTATGATTTTACTCAAGGTACCTTTGACTATTGACTATGGTGGAGTATTGAGAGAGAAAACGGGTCGGGTTGGATGATCGACCCATCAGAGTACTAATTAACGTTGACGTGTTAATGATATACCTAGTCAGACTAACGTAAGCGCCTAGCTAATAAAATTTCCTGTCGCTTGCGTCACCTTTTTATTTCCCTCCCACCCATAGTAACAACCGGAATAAAATTTATTCGCCGCTTGTGTTTCTTTAAAACTTTAGTAATTAATTAATATATGAGTATCTCATATGTTTGGATAAGTTTCAATTTAATAATTTTATTTTTTATATTTTATGTATTTTTACAGAATCAGAAAAAAAAGATAACAACAATATTTTTGCAAGATTAGAAAAAAGAAAAAAAACAATTAAAGATTTCAATCCTCCAAAAAATGTATAATATAGATTGAAAATTGAATGTGAATATTTTAATTTAATAAAAATAAAATTTAATTTATTTTTTTTGTAATAAATATTTAAACTAGTTTCTCTATAAAATAATTTTAATATTAAAAATACATTCATTCTTGCCCTTTATCGTAATTTGACTTTCAAAAGCACTTTTAACAAAGATTAATTAACCACAATTTACTTATAAAAAACACTTTTCAGATTAATTAGCCAAACACAAGTTATTTTTTATTTAAAAGTAAAATATTTATAAAAATAAATAATTTTTAACAGCAATACCAACACAGACTTGACATCTCTCTTATTGTGTAATTAAAAAATATTTTGACTTGTTTGTTTAACTACGTAACATTATGGTATTGCTTCTACAGAAATGCCGTACTTGAACAAAATACTTTTCAAATGTATGACCAATCGTTTGATTTGTGGAATAAGATAATTAGATTTTTGTGATTAATTTCTATTTTATTTGATTAAAATATAATTAATTATTTAATATTATTTTATCTCATTCTAAAAGTGAAATTAATTACTCTCACAATAATAAATCAAGATTATTATTTTCAATAACTTTGTACTAAACCAAATGAATTATGTTAAAAATGTTTTTATATACAACCCAAAAAGATTTCGTGCTCTTCTTATTACTCATCCGTCTCAACTTTTGATCTTAAATCAAAGTTATGTCAACCCAAAAAGATTTCGTGCTCCTCTTATTACTCATCCGTCTCAACTTCTTATCTTAAATCAAAGTTATGTAAAATATATTAAAATATCTTCTAATTTTTTGATATTAAATTGGTAAGAAATTATAGTTAAAGAATTTTATTTTTTTTTTAAAAAAAAAGAAGAAGAAGTAAACTTGGCTAAACTTATTGTGAATAGGGCCAAACACGGTGTTAATCTCCTAACCGTACTCCGGGAAAAAAGGAAACCATGGAATCCAGCGACAATGCCGCTGCTCTGTGAGAATTGCCGTTCAGTTTCCGTGTGAAAAATTTCATTCATTCGACACTGTGTCCTCTCCCCATTCTTTCACAGAATAAGAGACTACATGAATAACGAGGGTCAAAGGGGTCTTTTGGTTTTCAGATCAGCTCCCAGGTCAGTCGTCGCCGGCCGGCAATTACCGGCTCGACGACGACCCATTCCCTTTGCAGCTCTTTAGCCGGTTTTTGGGCTCCATAGTTGGACGGTTCGTGATTTCTCGCTTTATTCATTGTTATCCCAAATGTTACAATTTTTTTTTCCTTAATTGTAGCATATTTCTGATGGGTTTTTGCTTTTATTCTTATTTTCGGCTTAATTGCTGGGTAATTGGACGGAGAAGATTAATTAAGAGAGCATTTGCACTAGTATTTCACTATGTTTATTTGTTTCTTCTTTTGAGTTGGTAACCTGATGATGCAGTGTGAAAGGTTTTGAACCATGTTGCTCGGACTCTCCAAAAATGCATTACTTTTGGAGAATTCTACTCACACCTGATGACATTTTTGAAGAGTTCGAGCAATGTAGGTTTTGAAAGCAAGAACCAAATAGTTTCTTGAAGTGATGCTATGATAAACATATTTCAGAACCATTTGGTGCACTTGTGTGACAATTCCATGGAGGCTATTCTTTTTCTGACTATTCTGTGGAGGCTATTCTTTTTTCTAACAATTCCATGGAGGCTATTCTTTTTTCTGACAATTCCGTCGAGGCTATTTGGTTAACTAAAAATCATGACTAATTGATATATAAGCTTTTCTCTTAGAAACCAATGGGCTGGAATGTATTGCAAATTCTTGACCAGGAACTTTTGAGCCAATGTGAAGCATTAAGATACACTCAACCACATATCAGGAAAGTGTATCAATTTCCTTGGTTTAGTCATAGAAGAAAAGATTGAAAAGACAAGTCTCGACTATTACACTTCAGTGTGACAATGAGTATGCGAGAGTGCATTTCAAGCTCAGTCGTCCGAACCCTTGTGTCCTCTGTCCCTTACTTTAGTGTCACCTTGTAGTTTCTCTTCTTCTATTACTTATACTGTTTTCTGAGGGATGATTCATGATTTGAGAGAGGAACTCTAACTATTAGAACTCGAAACACATATATCTTGCTTGTTTCTACCCTTCTATTCAGTGCTTGTCCCTTTGCATACACACAGGCAGTCCTTGGGCTCAGGAATTCTTATAGTTGCATATTTTCAAGATATGGTGACTCCATTTTTGTTTTTGCTAATGAAGATTATGGTGACTCATTTTTGTTTTTGCTAATGAAGATTATGGTGACTCGTTTTAGCTTTTATTTTTATCTTTGATGTAATGGAATTGTTTGGTCCACAAGAGCTTGAGGTGAAAATGTCAAAAATACTGCTTTTGTATCACGCAAACTGTATCCCCTCTTATGCATGTTTTTGGCAGCCATTGAATTGTTAAGACATCTTTGTTGATTGTATCCTCTTATGTTAAACATTGTTGTTCAGTATATTGGAAGAGTGTGTTTTAAAGAAACTTTTAGGCCTGGTTGCTATACTTCCTGCCAAAGTTCAACAGTTTCTAAAATTTTAAGCAAGGATAGAGGGGTTGAACTCTTAAATGCCAAAGACAACAAATAAGACAGAATAATGGTTTTCTATGGCACTAGCATACATACAAGAATTCTGTAGTACATGCTTTTTCTTCTGGATTTTTCTGTTTGGCTTTCCAATCTCTTGTTTAGCATGGGCTGTAAAATGCAGGATTGCTTTGACTGTAACCTCAATATTGGTACGACCTTGTCCTAAATCAGTAGCACAAAAAAGTAGGGTTTTCACACAGAAATCGTTGTTGCAAGCATAGGGCCAAGCAGAAAGCTTGTTGTAGATAATTGATACCTGAAACTTCAATTTGAAATTTAAATCATTGATTGATTTGAACATTGAATTGACTCTGATTTCAGTTCTTTCTATGGCAGAAGAGGTTTGAACTCTTTGGCTTGGTAAAGGCAACTTTGCATGGTGAATTGAGTAAGACGTCTTCAGCTATGGAGCCTAAGCATGCTACTGCAGCTGATGGAAAATCAGGGACACCTCCTACCCTTGCTGTTACAGGACTTATAGTCTCCCCTCGCGAGAAAACTTTAAGTTCGTCAGACTCTTCCTGCAATACATCACCTGACTCGACACTGAATGACCCCTTTGGCAAGGCTAATTATGAATCTGATGATTCCACTGCTAATAACGTACCCAAACTTGGTAGGGATAACAAATCACGGTTTTCAGACAACAAAAATCCTGTTTCTGGGAGCTCTACCATTAGTAGTGAACCCTTAAACCATGAAGTGTCACCTTCCATGTCACAGTCAGAAGGGACTCACTGTTTTTCCAGGTCATGCTCTGGCAATTCGTCAACCACAGAATCACCTCCCATGCAAGTAATGGAGCACTCCGCAAACGAATCTTATAGGATCCCTTCTTCAGTGTTTGCTAGAGATGAGTCTGCAAATCCAGCAGAGTGGAGTGTAACTTCTCATGAATCATTATTTAGCATTCACATGGGTACTATGAGTTTTACCAAAGATGCTAGTTTTTGGCAGTCGGATGAGCTGGGTGAGCTAGGAACTCCTCGAAACTTCCCCTTATCCCCTGCTATGTGTGACTTCTCTCCGTACCAGTCAAGTCATGAGATGGAATTGGCTGAAGTGGAGATCTCAAGGGGAAATGAGGATTTAAATCATGAAAGATCTCTTGCTGTTGGACGTATCTCTCCTAAACCAATGGAAAGTGGAACCAATACAATGTCTTTTGCATTTCCAGTGTAGGCAATCTACGCTCAAACTCTCATATGATACATTGGCAAAATTTTGTCCCTATTGTTAATTTAGAATGTCGACAATCATTTATAGTGGGAACATTTACTTCTTTCTGTCTCTCTTTCTGTGCATACAAGTATAGTGGAATACCTACATTTTGCCTCCAAAGACTAATGACAAATGGTCCATAAATTGTTATCTCCTACTGCATGACCTGTTTGCTACTTACTATATCTTGTGGTTTCATCATTTAAATAATCGACTTTATATCTGGACCCTGATCTTCCACTAGGTAACATAGACATGTATCTATTGATAGATTTCTTTTTCTGATTCTCATTTGTGTGGTAATAGGATCAGGGTTGGCACTTGAATAGAATGTTAGGGAAAAACTGAAAGATTAAATGAACTGTTTCTGCATAGATATGACTTTCGAAAGGTATCAATGTGAACATTATGCTTCTTTGCAATTTCCATATGTATGCCAGTATTAATGAGAGATTGACTGACCCATCTGTCTAAAAATGAAGGCTGTCAGGGAATCTGGATAAAAAATATTCAGTGCGCATGGCTTCTCCAGTTGAATCTAGCCCAGAGCAGAGGCAACCTCAGTTAGAATTAGCAGAGCTGCATACAGAACCGCTGCCTCAATCAGAGCCAAAGACCCCGACAGCAACTGAAAATGCAGGGAAAACAAAATGGTTTCCTTGCTTCTCATGCTGCTCTTCCGGTTCCTAGGATTGCTTTCCTAATAGTCCCTTTGTTTCTGACGATGCCATGGTTCAAGGATTAATACGATTAGCCCAGAAGTGCTGATGTGGTGCATGCCCGGTGAGTTTGGTAGTAACAACATTCATAAAATGGACTTAAAGTGGTGAGTTTGGTAGTAACAACATTCATAAAATGGACTTAAAGTGGTGAGTTTGGTAGTAACAACATTCATAAAATGGACTTAAAGTGGTGAGTTTGGTAGTAACAACATTCATAAAATGGACTTAAAGTGGTGAGTTTGGTAGTAACAACATTCATAAAATGGACTTAAAGTGGTGAGTTTGGTAGTAACAACATTCATAAAATGGACTTAAAGTGGTGAGTTTGGTAGTAACAACATTCATAAAATGGACTTAAAGTGCTACTTTGATGCATTTTGGTAAAGTATGATGACTTGATCATCCAGTTTACTGGCCTGTCCTTTGGATCGCTATGTGTTTGGTCCCAGAGTTCTAATTAGAAGATTACGAAGGCCTTCAACTTATGGGATTCTGATTTTTTTCAATTGTTTGTGTCAAATGTAAATAAGCAGGAGTCTTTTTTCCAGATTTTGTTTGATGCTCATAAGTCAGACATTAGAGACTTACATGTTTGTAAGTTTCCCCCATCCATTTTTTGACATAGAGTGTAGATGAAGTTCTTGATTGATTATCGGTTAGTTATAAATCAATTTTTTTACTGTTATAGAGAAGGAGAAAATCTTGTTTCTTCCTACTGCCCAGAATTTTCTATGTTCATATACAATCTTGTCCCTAAAACTTGAATATTTTGCGTACTTGTGATCTGATAGATCGTACTACTTTACAAAAAATTGAAAGAGCTCCTATGTCATATAGATGACTACACTTCAAGAAAATATGCAAATTTACCCATCTATTTTTTTATGACTTAAAATTAGAAATATCATCAATTCACCAAACTACAAACTATTATGCCATTTTATTTTGATTTTCATAAACAAAGCTCATATATATATTATAAGAAATCTTATCCTTTTTTTTATAGACCTAATTTAGATTTTATTTTCCCAATATTTTTAACTTTAAAACGCTCTTGAAATATTAAATAGAAGTTTCTTCAAAACAAATGCCTATAAAATTTAAAATAATTTTTTCTCACTTTATAAAATTTCCCCGCTTCCAACAAAATAAATGGCGGCAAATTTAACTGAGGAGTCAGTTTTTCCCTCGGGAATTAGAAGTTAAACATTTTCCCGCCAGTAAAATCAAATGAATAATTTCGCCAAAATCCAATAACAAATCCCCGCCAAAAACTCTCAAGTACAAAACCCCACTTCTCCTTCATTCTTTTACTTCATTTTTCAACTATTTTCTCTCTGCATTTCTTTGCCTTTTACCTTCTCAGAAAGAGAAACAATGGCAAAAACGGTCAGCCCAGATGCTATTTCAACTATTTTAGCGAACCCATCGCCGGATTCTTCTTCAGATCTTCCTGAAATTATTGTTCAAGTAGTGGATCTCAAGCCCACCGGCAACAGATACATGTGAGTCTGCTTTTCAGTTTTTTTTTTTTTTCATTTTGAGTTGGTTTAATCGATCAGAAACTTGTATTTCATTCAGATCTATTCGTTTATCCAAAAACTTTTGTATATGTTACTGTACACGATTTGTTTGTGTAGAAGTGAGGGTAACTTCTTTAATTTAAATCGATTGCATGAGTTTGTTAGCTTGTTGCTTCCCATTTGTCTATTGAGGGGGATGCCCTTGAAATATCAGATTGTTCATTATACAGATTTAGGGTTTCTCATATGGCTTAGCTGACTATTTGAGTCTCATGTGTTGTTTCTTATGTTGTATTGTCTTTAATCATCAAGTGATATCTTATAGCAAAATGAATAAATATTTCATTTGCAGGTTTTCAGCCAATGATGGGAAAATGAAGATTAAGGGCATTCTTCAATCTAGTTTGTCTTCTGAAGTTATATCTGGGTCTATACAGAACCTGGGTCTTATTCGGATTATTGATTACACCCTCAATGATATCCCAACTAAGAATGAAAAGTGAGCATCTTTATAATGATTAACGTTATGTTTATTTGTTTTGAAGGTTTATATTTGACACTAATGAGTTGATTAATTTGATTTAGGTACTTGATTGTAACTAAATGTGAGTCAGTGTCTCCTGCTCTTGAAGCTGAGTACAAGGCTGAAGTGAAAAGTGAAGACACTGGCATTGTCTTGAAGCCAAAGCAGGAAGAGACTGGGATTCTTTTGAAACCAAAACAGGAATATCAAACTAAATCTGCTGCTCAAATTGTACATGAACAAAGTGGAAAGTGAGTTTTTCTGGTCATTTTTGTTTTTCCTGGTTTGTTAGCAGATGGTAGTTTGTGATATGGATGTACTGAAAAAGTTAATTGTGTTGTATGTGGGTGATATTTCAGCATGGCACCGTCTGCTCGAATGGCAATGACAAGAAGAATTCAGCCACTTGTCTCTTTGAATCCCTACCAAGGAAATTGGACCATTAAGGTTCGAGTAACTAGCAAGGGTAATATGCGAACTTACAAGAATGCTCGTGGAGAAGGCTGTGTGTTCAATGTTGAATTGACTGATGAGGATGTAAGCACATTTTCAGTTATCTTACAATTTGGCAAGTGTTAGATTTAATGAAGTTTTTATTTGATTGATAGTATAACTAACAAAGATTTACCTTTTATTTCAGGGTACCCAAATACAAGCTACAATGTTTAATGAAGCTGCAAAGAAGTTTTTTGACAAGTTTGAATTGGGGAAAGTATATTACATTTCAAAGGGAACTCTTCGAGTTGCGAACAAGCAGTTCAAAACTGTACAAAATGATTATGAGATGACTTTGAATGAAACTTCCCAAGTTGAGGAGGCTTGCAACGAAGAAGCTTTTATTCCAGAGACAAAATTTAACTTTGTCCCAATTGATGAATTGGGACCATATGTCAATGGCAGGGAGCTTGTTGGTATGAACTTGCAAACCCAAAACTTGAATTATTTGTGCTGCATTTTCATATCCTTTCACCAAGGAGTAATGTTTTCAAACAATGAATTGTAGATGTTATTGGGGTGGTCCAAAGTGTATCTCCAACAATGAGCATACGGAGGAAGAGTAACAATGAGACAGTCCCTAAGCGTGATATAACTATTGCAGATGAGACGTATGTTTAAATACTGTAAACTACTTGTCTTGTAGATTTTGGCTTTCTCTAGCAATGTGAGGTTAATGTCATATACTTTTCTGTATCAGGAAGAAGACTGTTGTTGTTTCTCTTTGGAATGATCTTGCCACCCATGTTGGACAAGAACTGCTAGACATGGCTGATAAATCCCCAGTTGTTGCAATCAAATCCCTTAAAGTTGGAGACTTCCAAGGTGATTGCTTCATTTCATACAACAAAACGTGTTCTATATGCATGATATCTTCATTGTCCCAATCTCATAGTTCCTTAAATTGTGTTTCAGGAGTGTCTTTATCAGCATTAAGCAAAAGCAATATTGTTGTGAATCCTGATTTACCTGAAGCCAAAAAATTGAGATCTTGGTATGACTTTACTTAATGGGGTAATTGATTTTCGGTTTTAGTCTCAGTTGACTAAAGGCCACACTTTCATTTTTGTTCAGGTATGATTCTGAAGGTAAAGAAACTTCATTGGCATCTATTGGTTCTGGCATGAGCCCCTCTGCCAAGAGTGGAGCAAGATCTATGTATACTGATAGAGTTTCCTTGCTTCATATAACCAGTAACCTGTCCCTTGGCGAGGAGAAGGTATATATACCTAACCCTGGTTGAGGATAATGAGCTTTATTTCGGGAGCAATTTCAATGCTATGTTCTTTAGAGAAAATAGATCTATGAGAAAATAGGACTCATTAATACATAGTGCATTATGTAACACCCATCTTATTGGTGTTTTTCCCTGTTTGGCAGCCTGTGTTTTTCAGCTTGAAAGCATATATAAGTTTCATTAAGCCTGATCAAACCATGTGGTATCGGGCTTGCAAGACATGCAACAAGAAAGTTACTGAAGCTTTTGGGTCTGGATATTGGTGTGAAGGATGCCAGAAGAATGAAGCAGAGTGTAGTTTGAGGTGAACATTGAATATATAGTCATCTTAAAACCTCTCATCAACCTATAATGCCTACTTATGACTTTACCTCTATTTGTCTATCCCAGATATATAATGGCATTGAAAGTGTCTGATGCAAGTGGTGAAGCATGGCTTTCTACGTTTAATGAGCAAGCAGAGAAAATACTTGGATGCTCTGCTGATGAACTTGACAAGCTGAAATCAGAGGTAAAACAGTTCACATAACCTTTCTTTTAAATGCTTGTTTTATGTCTCCACAGTTTGTGACTGACTTATCTGAATATTCCTATCTCTCAGGAGGGAGAAATTGCATATCAAATGAAATTGAAGGAAGCTACATGGGTTCCTCACCTTTTCCGGGTCAGTGTTGCACCACAAGAGTACAACAACGAGAAAAGGCAAAGGATAACAGTCAGGGCTATTGCTCCAGTTGATTATGCAGCAGAATCCAAATACTTGCTGGAAGAAATGTCTAAGATGAACATTGCTATGTAATGATGCTAGCCTAATTCAGAATAGTAGATTTATTTTTGTTATATTTAAGTCTGAATGCTCACTAGGATTGGTTAGTTGAACAGTTGTAAATATGTCTCATTGTCTTTGCTTAATAGCAATTCAGCATTTTGCATTTTAGTGAATGCACCTTTTGCAGTTTATCATATTTTGTTGTGTATTCACTATTTAATGATGGTTCTACATTTTATCTAATGGAGCATTCCAATTCTTGTTATCACATCCCCATGATCAGTTTATTTATTTGTTTATTTTGTGTACTGAAGGAACTTTTGCAGACCTGCAATTCAGAACTTTTGCATGGTCGTACTTGATAAAGCTAGAAACTGTTCATTACAATTAGTTTGTACACTTCTCTATATTTCCCTGAACTATAGAGAGTTTTAGGTGACTTGAGGTCTTATTGATTAGTATTACACCAGAGAGACTTGCAATTAGATGTTTTCTTCATAGATGAACTTGGGATTTGTGATTCTAAGTAAGATTGGCTCAGGATCATGTGATCCTTTGGTATCAGATAGGAAGGGTTGCAGCATTTCACTGAAATCCTTCCTGTTGCATCTTCATTATTGGATTGTTTACCAAATTAATTGTGCGTGCTGCTAGAAATCAAGAATCATCTGAAGAAAGTTCACATAATCTGATTGATCAGAAAGTTTCTACAGCATTCGTTACTTCTCTTTTATTAAATAAAATTCTGGAAGGGGGAAAAGATAGTGCTGAAAGACAGCTTTTTAAGCTTTAGTTGTGAAGTTGAAATTGGCACATGTAGTTTGGTGGAACAAAAGGGATGAGCTAAAACCAAGTGTTGATCTAGCAAGATCAAAATGTAGAAGATTGTCCTCAAGTTGATATCCTCCTATTACTATTGAAGCAGTACGTTTAATCCCTCCGTTCACAAATCCTAAGCAGATCACATCTTGGCTAACTTTCACCATTGAATTTGCGCCAAAAATCCTCCAATAAACTCGTGTAGTCTGCAACACAAGATCAATGGTAGGAACAGCTGGTCCAACCCTTGTGCTACCAACACTTTTTGAGCTGAAGCATGTCTCGAAAGGTGCCACAGCAGCCACTCTGGTCGCATTAGATAACTCATCGATGAATGCTTTAGTCACAACATTATAGATGGAAGATTCCAACATTGAATAAGGACTCCCTGTGCTGATTTTGGTTCCACCATTTCCGCTCTTGTCAACCCCTAGCAATTTTTTGTTAATTGTCACTGGTTTGCCATTGACTCTAATAGATTTCACTCCAATGTAGTACTCTGAGGAAGGTTCATTCAGGGAAGGAACAGATCCAGTACCAAAAGGGTTGGTGATCAACGGCGTAATGATGAGATCTTTTGAGACATCAATATTTGGAAGCATCATGCCATCACCAAAAAATATGACACCAGAAGATTGTGTGGATGAACTTAAACAAACAGCAAATTTTCTTGGAAAGCTGAAGATTTCAGCTAATTGGGAAGGAAGCGCGATACGATTCCTTCCCAATCCAACAGTACCTTTCACCTCACTAGCTAAACCTTCAGTCAAGAATGTAGGAGCACAAGTGAAAATGAAATTTGGGATCTTGACAAACTTACCAGGATTTGATCCATCAGTGGATTGAATCGATAATACATCTTCATTAAGTTGTCCACCACTATATAAAGTCTTGATGAATGGATTCTCTGGGGTGTTGTAACATGCATTATCGTTGCAGCCAATCTTGGGAGCACTGGTGCTGCAGTTTGCACAAGTGTCAACTTTGGCGATGGTACATTGAGTTGAGCCACAAAGAAGCGGTTGATAAGTGGAACTCACATAACCATTCTCACAGTCTACCCATAAAGTTTGTCCACCAAGATGAATTGTTAACTTAATGGGCACAAGAGGAGTTCTTTGACCAATTTGTGTGATGTATTGTAGAGTAGATGAGTCTTTGGTCACAGGAAGAATGAATGCTTTGGTCTGGGGAGAAGAAGTTTGGCCTATGCAATAAGAAGAAATGGAGAGGAGAAGTGAACAAAAAAGGATCAAACAGTAGCTAGTGAAAGACATGATACAAGATTAAGATGTGATGTGGAAGTATGAAATTGTGAAGAATATTCATGTTTTGTTTTATAGAAGGATTGTTTTCAAGTCAACTCCATCGCTTATTTAAATAAGTCAATGATTTTGCAATGGATATGAGTTATGACAGAGAGATATTTTTGACAAGGAAGAAAAAGTCAGCAAATTGGAATACAGATGCATAATTTGACATTTGACTTCAGAATGCTCCACTTATTCCACAATTTTTGTTCATGTTTACACCATTCGATATAACTTAATGAAAATATACATTAATTGGTCCCAGATATATAATGGCATTGAATTTTTCTGATGCAAGCGGTGAAGCGTAGCTCTCTGCATTCAATGATCAAGCAGAGAAAATACTCTGCTGATGAACTTGACAAGCTGAAATCAGAGGTAAAACAATTCTCAGAACCTTTCATTTTTGTGCTTGTTTTATGTCTTAGACAGTTTGTGGCTAACTTATCTGAATATTCCTATTTCTCAAGAGGGAGAAACTGCATATCAAATGAAAAGCTAGACAGCAAAAAGGTACAACAATGAGAAAAGGCAAAGGATAACAGTAAGAGCTGTTGCTTCAGTTGATTATGCAGCAGAATCCAAATACTTGTTGGAAGAGATGTCTAAGAAGAAGATTTCTATGAAATGAGGCTAGCCAAATTGAGAATATTAGAGTTTACTTTTATTATATTTTGAGTCTGAATGCTCACTAGTCACTAGGATTGGTTAGTAAAGCAGTTGTAAATATGTCTCATTGGCTTTGGTTTATAACAATTCAGCATTGTGCATTTTAGTGAATGCACTTTTGCAGTTTTTATCATATTTTGTTGTGTATTTACTATTTAATGATGGAGGAACATTGTATCTAGAATATTATGCATACTGATAGAAATAAAGAATCATCTGGAAAGAGTTCACATTATTCTGATTGATTATAAAGTTTCAACAGTATATGTTTCTTTTCTCTTTTATTAAAGAATTCTGGAATGGGGGAAAGATACTGCTAAAGGACAGTTTTTTTAAGCCATGGTTGTGAAGTTGAAATTGGCACATGTAGTTTGGTGGAACAAAAGGGATGAGCTAAAACCAAGTGTTGATTTGGCAAGATCAAACTGTAGAAGATTGTCCGCAAGTTGATATCCTCCTATAACTATTGAAGTAGTAGGTTTAATCCCTCCATTCACAAATCCTAAGCAGATCACATCTTGGCTAACTTTCACCATTGAATTTGCGCCAAAAATCCTCCAATATACTCGTGTAGTCTGCAACACAAGATCAATGGTAGGAACAGCTGGTCCAACCCTCGTGCTACCAACACTTTTTGAGCTGAAACATGTCTCGAAAGGTGCCACAGCAGCCACTCTGGTTGCATTAGATAACTCATCGATGAATGCTTTAGTCACAACATCATAGATGGAAGTTTCCAAGATTGAATAAGGAGTTCCTGTGCTTATTTTGGTTCCACCATCTCCTCTCTTGTCAATCCCAAGCAATTTTCTATTAATTGTCACTGTTTTGCCATTCACTCTAATAGATTTCACTCCAATGTAGTACTCTGAGGAAGGTTCATTCAGGAAAGGAACTGATCCAGTACCAAAAGGGTTGGTGATCAACGGCATAAAGATGAGATCTTTAGAGACGTCAATTTTTGGAAGCATCATGCCATCACCGAAAAATATGACACCAGAAGATTGTGTGGATGAACTCAAACAAACAGCAAATTTTCTTGGAAAGCTGAAGATTTCAGCTAATTGGGAAGGAAGCGCGATACGATTCCTTCCCAATCCAACAGTACCTTTCACCCCACTAGCTAAACCTTCAGTCAAGAATGTAGGAACACAAGTGAAAATGAAGCTTGGAATCTTAACAAACTTACCAGGATTTGTTCCATCAGTAGACTGTATCGATAACACATCTTCATTAATTTCACCACCACTATATAAAGTCTTGATGAATGGATTCTCTGGGGTGTTGTAACATGCATTATTGTTGCAGCCAATCTTGGGAGCACTGGTGCTGCAGTTTCCACAAGTGTTAACTTTGGCTATAGTACATTGAGTTGAGCCACAAAGAGCCGGTCGATAAGTGGAACTCACATAACCATTTTCACAGTCTACCCAAAAAGTTTGTCCACCAAGATGAATTGTTAATTTGATGGGGACAAGAGGAGTTCTTTGACCGATTTGTGTGACGTATTGGAGAGTAGATGAGTCTTTGGTCACAGGAAGGATGAATGCTTTGGTCTGGGGAGAAGTTTGGCCTATGCAATAAGAAGAAAGGGAGAAGAGAATTGAAGAAAGAAGGATGAATTGATAGCTAGTGAAAGCCATGATACAAGATTAAGATGTGATGTGGTAGTATGGAATTGTGAAGATTATTCATGTTTTGTTTTATAGAAGGATTGTTTTCAAGTCAACTTCATAGCTTATTTAGATAAGTCCATGATTTGGGAATGGATATGAATATGATTATGACACAGATATTGAAGAAAAAGTCAGCAAATTAGAATACAGTTTGCGTAGTTTGACATTTCACCGACAGCTACAAACTACTGCTGCCGACATTTTTTAAAACAAAGTGAAATGCATTTAAAACACAGCTACAATTTTCAAACACGCTATGACAGGCTATTAGGCTCAGTGATAGAGTGCACCGACTCGAGCAAATTACTGTTTTCCATGGAAAATTGGAGCCAGAGCAGATTGAGAAGTGCACCTTTATAGTCCTTAAGAGCCTGTAGCACCTTTTGAAAGACATTAGGCTACAAACGAACATAGCTGAATAGTAATTTTGGCACTTAAACAATCTGATGCAGGTTTACATATGAAACGAAGTGCCCAACAGCCTCACTGCTAATGTAAGAAGTGTTAATGAAGGGCTTCCAGGGCGGTTAATAACAGGTATTATTGTTGCAACCTGGACCAGGGATGTGAAATGTGTACTCCACAGGCATGAGATTTTGGTACATGATCAACTAACCTGTAGTTTCTGTTCAGAATCCATCAAACAAGAAATTGACAAGAAAACACGAACAATTTGCTCAGTTTATTGGTCCTTTGTTTTTTTCATTCTGCTCTTTCACTTCCATGTCACAAACATATAAATATCCAGAAATTTCAAGTACTTAGGGCATCAAAACACAAGGTAACAAAGCTGTCCTAGACAATTGAAGATAAGCTACACTTTCTATAGTTCATAAGATTTCATACTTCCATAAAGGGGGAGGGGGGAGGGGAAGGCAGAGATTAGGTCTTCATCCGACTTGAAACTGAAGCTGAGAATGAATATCCATCGTCCTTCAGATAGCCATGAGATCCCCATACTGGCGCATCAAAATGATGGAGCCAGCAAATAGAGCAGTAGCTCGAAGCAGTTTCTGCAAAAGCAAAATGCAAAAAAGATTAAGGTAAAACTCTATAAAGCCCAGAAAATGAGAAACGTTGATCATATCATACACAACCAAGAGTCTGAAAAAAAGTTTACCCAGGTTTGATTTCTCTATAATCTATATATATCTGATTATGAAAAAACAAGTCATTTTTTGATAAAGTAATATTCCTACTGATTTGGGACAAAATCATTATTCATGTAGTTATGCACACATGTTTACATGAATATAAAATACAAAAATCTAAACCAAATATGCAACCAACCTATAATTCTCTACCATAGTTTTAGTCAAGTAGCCAAATCTGATCCATATCCCACACTCACACCTAAATCATGTTAGGTCAACATAAGTGTAAACACGTGGTCTTGAGGTATCTGTGCAACATAGATATGTGACACAATGGTTCAAACATTTTACCAACCACTGTGTTGTTGTTCCTTGTTTCCTTTGTTTTATCTCATTAAACAAAAAGTTATTTATTGTAACATAAATCAGAGTTTGACCAACATAAACCTAGTAGCTTAGCATTTTCCTAAAATTTTAGGTCCAACCTGCTAGATGGCAGTGTAGCCTAGCACTATACAGAATTTCTCTTTCCATTGATACCCCAAAACACATTGATTATAAGGATGTTTCTTTCCTTCACTGATAAATATCTCTCCCACAGAGAAATCATCTCTAGCCACCTTTCTTGCCTCCAATCCCTTGTAGCCTAGAGAAATATCTATTTTTGCAACACTTTTTCCTACTGCTGCAATCTTCAATCACCTACTATGTGGTCATAATAGGTTAGCATTGCACCCAGACTCTAGTTTCCTTAAATGTCCTAACATCTTATTTAAGAAATATCTATTTTTGCAACACTTTTTCCTACTGCTGCAATCTTCAATTCTCCTTCCTCTTTTAACTTTATTCACTGTCGGATTCAACCCTATACCAAAGCTCTTCCCATCGCTAATTGTTGCCTTTCAATTCAACCGTTAAAGCTTCTGCAACACATATTTGACAGCATTTATTGCTTCTCATGGAAAATCATAGCCATCAGTCTTTGTTTCTGGCATATGCAATAGAATAACCTTCTTCTCACGAAAGATTTGATTGTTATTTCTGTTCAGACTTATCACCTTGTTATTAGTTTACAACAAAATACTCTTATACTCCATTAATAATGTTTTGTTTTGCTAGTTGAAGAAGCAAAATGACCTAACAATTTTTGTGTGATAATCACAGAAATGCAGGGACCGAAACTTTTTACAGAAACAAAAAGATGACTTCTACATATGCTAAAGAAGATGAATGTTTACCTCTCTGCCATTTTCTTTCAACATGGTTATAGTAGGTTAGCAAAACACTTTATGCATACATAAGATCAGTGAGTCATAATTTATTTTCTCTGTGTTACAGAGAAAACATGATTTGAACAATAAAAAACACTAAAATATATTCACACAAAAAAACAAAGAACAAAAGTAAAAGATTTTATATTCAAGAAGACAATTTTATGTGTTTTGAGAAACTATGAAATAAGAATTAACAAGTTAATTCGAGAAATCAAACTGAAATTTTATTGAATTTACTTATTAATTCTAATAACACTGTTTTAGAAAACATATAAGATCTATTTTTCTGAATATTTGGTTTAGGCAGCAAATCAATCAAATTGTAAATCACATTTTCAGCCAAATTATTTCTAATCCTAACTCAAATCTCTTAAGATCCAATTATAACACGCTTAACTCGTTGTTCATCAATATAACGAGTATAATCGGCATCGCCCATAAAATCCACAACAACGGAAGAAGACAAAACAAAGACCGAAGCAAATTTCTCTCAGGTTACTGATATGTACAAATGAATAACGTTTATTTAGAAAAAGAGATACCTTGTTGAGATTCCATCTTTCTTCGTCATGAACCTGAGAGTGCCAGAAAGCTTTGACCTTGTCAACTGATATCACAGAGTCCACCATTGAAGCTAGTCGAGAGAAGGAGAGTACAACTGAGAGGAGGAGGAGGAGGGGCAGCAGCAAAGATCTCTAAAGGGGTTAGGGTTTTAGCATTAGGGCCTTGCAGGTTTTATTTTAGGCAATTTGATACAATCGGGCGGACAATCGGGTTCTCTTCACCCACAAGGGCATTTTAGGTTTTCTTATTTTTTTCAAAATTCCTATTTCCTTCATAATGTACTCGTTTTTATTATTTTTCCTTTTGCCATATTATTTGGATATCACCACAAAATTGAAGGTAGACTTTCAAATTAAGGGCATTTTAGGTTTTCTTATTTTTTTTCTTTCTATTTCTTCAAAATTCCTTCATAATGTACTCGTTTTTATTATTTTTCCTTTTGCCATATTATTTGGATATCACCACAAAATTGAAGGTAGACTTTCAAATTAAGGGCATTTTAGGTTTTCTTATTTTTTTCTTTCTATTTCTTCAAAATTCCTTCATAATGTACTCGTTTTTATTATTTTTCCTTTTGCCATATTATTTGGATATCACCACAAAATTGAAGGTAGACTTTCAAATTAAGGGCATTTTAGGTTTTCTTATTTTTTTCTTTCTATTTCTTCAAAATTCCTTCATAATGTACTCGTTTTTATTATTTTTCCTTTACCATATTATTTGGATATCACCCCAAAATTGAAGGTAGAGTTTCAAATTTATTAAATTAAAGATTTCTCATGATTTTGATCATTCTTCAACTGATTTCTATCAATTTCATGATAATAAGCGGTATCTAAGAGAATGTGATGAGGATATAGAATGTCCCCATCTCCTCTTTATAAAAAGTAGCAATACAACACTTTTTTTCTACAAATATATGTATTAACTTGCATGTATTCCAACTATTATGTTATATATCAGTAAATAAACTTAATTGTAAGAGTATTTGGCTAAATTTATTTTATCTCCCATTGAATATTTTATTAATTAATACTTATTATAATAGATAACTTTATTTTTCTAAACCATCGAACAATTTTGAGACAACTTGAATTGATCGAAAGGATTAATATTTGAACACTTTCTTTGAAGGATTAATATGCATGTTAAAAGAATTTCCATTGAGGCAAGTGAGTGGACGAGGCAAGCACGCATAGGACCAGTATATCCAACCAGGCACTGCCACGTGGAATATCTACCGGCTAGAATTTAATCAGACATTTCATGCTATCTTCTCCGGGTTGTGGCCTCACAAAGATGGAAACTTGCTTTAGCTTTGAACTCTTTTAGCACAAACAATTGAACCAGTGAAAAAGAAGAAGATGATGATGATGGAGGGCGCCATTGCGATTTCACGTTTTTCTGCTTCAAACACACCACTTCTCATCCGATCCATGGCTACGCAAAAACCAACTCCATCCGCTACCAAAACCGTTACTTCTAAAAAGGTTCGATTTTTTATCTACTTACTTGCATTATATCTCAACATTTACATAATTAATAATGCAAATTGTGGGTAGGTGAAGGGGAAATGGGTGAAGGGATTACAAGGTGGGAAATCGAGTCTCACAAGTAAGATGAAAGTTCAGATAGGTCAACCAACTGAGCTATTAAGATTCTCTTAGGAAGACTATCCTGATGTTTCATGGGTTGAATTTGTAACCTGATAGATCATTATATGTGTTCCTAAGAAAAATAATTTATTCATTTTTGGGGTATCAAAGGGGCGAATGAAAAAGAGATGTAACTCAAGTTCCTTTGGAATAGGTAGAACAGTCTTATTTTCAATGATCATTGAAGAGTAGCTCTTTTAATACGAACAAGTGTAACACTATTATAGCTAATTCTGGAGTTGATTTCTCGGATGGTCACTGAAGTAATAGTTATTATCTCAGAAACATTATTTTCTTTGTTGAAGAAAATGGGAATCATGAAGAAATGTGACTTGAGAAATTAATCGACCTGTCATTTCTATATATTCAATGTACTATATGGACAGAGGAATATGCATATACGAGGAAATTCATGTGTCTTTAACATTTACTGCAGACAACAACTGTATTTCCAGTAGGGGAGAAACCTCGGCCGGGCAATTCTTCATCTACACCAACAGTGAAGTTATTGACAAGAGTGGAGCAATTGCGACTGTTAACTAAAGCAGAGAAAGCTGGTTTACTATCAGCTGCTGAGAAATCTGGACTCTCTTTGTCGGCAATTGAAAGACTTGGTCTTCTTTCCAAAGCCGAAGAATTGGGGATTCTTTCAGCAGCTACTGACCCTTCAACCCCATCAGCACTCTTCAGTTTGAGCTTGGGATTGCTTGCTGTTGGCCCTGTTTGTGTGTATCTGGTGCCTGAAGATTACCCTTGGCAAATTGGTTTGCAGGTTGTGGTTGCTCTACTTTCTGTTGTTGGTGGCTCTGCAGCTTTTGGAGCCTCAAATCTTGTTTCCACTTTGCAGAAAGTAAATTGAAATGTAAGCTGCAAAATACTTTCTCTGTTAGAAAATTTCTATTATATATAGTATAAATGTTTATTTTGCTCAATCTTGATTATTCTTTGTTGATCCCTTGCAATCTAAGATATACATTGTCCTTCCCGGTTGAGCATTGAGTCATTACGACATCAAATCCTTGTCTGGATAAAGAATCTTGATCTGCAGTTTTCATTTCAGCAATATATGTAGTTCTTGCAATTCAAGGATTGGACTTCTTTTATCTTATTCAACGTATTATTAACTGGTAGGGTGAAAGCTAACTTCGATACATCGTTGGATCTAACGTATAATTCATGTGGTGTGTAAACTAATTGTAGTGACATTTAAATTGCATTACTACAGAACATCAGTTTAGTTGCTCCTTCCTAGAGTCAAAATTGGTATATATGACAATCTGAGGTTTATCTAGCTGTTCTTTTCCTGACTCTCTAAGGACCAAATACAATTATTATTGTCCAGCAGGAAACTTAGATGGGCATGGAGCCAATGAGATACTCTTTATCATTTCTTGATTTGTGCATGGGCCATGCCAATCTTCTCTGTATCGTTTCAATTTTATCTAGTGTCCAAGAACAGATGCAAAACTCTTAAGAACACATAAAAGGGAATTGCTAATACACGTGTATATCTTTTGAAGGACACTGTGTCACACTTGAATCTTGATGAACTTTGCCAACTTGTTGGGGATCATGCTGTGTACAATATAACTGCACTGTTCAGTGAAGGGCTCAGAAACTTATACGTACCTTAATTTTTCTTTGCATTGCCATGATGCATCTATGTTATATTAATGAACATATCTTCTATGCATCAGACTCGAATGGGGTTAAAAGACTATTGAACAGTCTTTTGATCGATACAAACGGTGTGTCAACTAATCTGGATGTTATTATAATTCCGGAATCTGGTGAGATTACATGAGTTGATCACATCAGTCTTGTTGCTCTTCTATAGACTCAAACATAGGCCAATATGTATGTGACAATGACAATCCTAGGTGTGTCAGGTGGTGAGTAGTTATCTGACTTTCTAAAGACCAAATTAACAATCATCATCCATGAATCAACTCACTGAATGTGGAGCGCGTGAATATATAGCTGAGGTTGTCACCCAATGCAACTTAAAACTCACAAAAACATGCATTTGAATGGGAATTGCTGAATGCTGATATACATCCATGCATGTCTTTCAGAAGTTGAAGGGTCCTTTAGTTCTAGGCTTCTAGCCGCGGTTCTTTAACACACTTGAATCTTAGATAAAATTTGCAAACTAGCTGCGGAGACTGATATAATGCAATGTTAACTGTACTGTTCTGTTCTGTGATGGCATCATCTTTCTAGTTTGATAGTCAAATACTCTTATTTAGAATCTTATAGTCTTGACAAAACATCGACATTTTGAATTTTGATCATAATGCTATAGCTCTACTAGTGTTGAAAAATATCGATTATTTCAGTACTGACTAAAAAATGAGAAAGTATGCTAGGAATGAGAGAGAGAATAGTCTTCATACAGATCTGGTAATTAACTACCTAAACTTTCATTTTGTTGATGAGCGTTTGACTCCCCATTTTGTAATCCCCTTCCTCTTAAAAAAAAAAAAAAAGAGTAGTCTTTATCACTTTACGAAGATTATATTTGGAGATGCACTCTAAATTAAGGACAAGGAAATTAGAATATTGCGTATTGGACTTGTCTTTAATCATTTTAGTCTGTGATGCCCATGATGGAGGACAAGCTGATGAGGAAATATAGATGGAGAGAAAGAACGACAAGACACATATATTCTATTTTAGACAAATCTCATATTAAAATGAAAGGTTTTATAAGAGTATAATACAAGTTCATAATTTCATATGATAATTTAATTATGATGCGGGTTGAGCTAAAGCGGATAATATATGCCATTGCTTGGCTGTGATCAGTTTGTGACAATACGTCCAAACAAGAAAGGGTTTTCTTTTTGCTCCGTCCATCTTTAGAATAATAGTTTTTACTTACGTATCAAATTCAGCAAAAAAAATTAGTTTTCTTTGTACTAAACACACCCGTTGCATTAACGCTCTAATATGATGCCACGATTCAACCAAAGGAGCTAACGTACCCTATTATTCCTATATTTATCTAGACTAGACGTAATTAATGCAATGATCAAAATCATAATTAGCTAACTCAAATAAGTCTTCATTTGTCATATTAATTATTTGGTATGTTCTCAACAAACAAGTTAGACAATTAGTCTTAACATTTGATTAGGACCAAATTTTTATGTGTCCAAAGATGTATATATCAAAGTACAACGACATTAGCCTTTTTGATCTTGATTTTATCTACTAACCTAAATTTAATTATGCTATGGGTGATCTAGTCATCTATTGTGAGGTGAAAGTCGTAACCTTTAAACAATTAATAGGTTTTAGATGATTAAAAGTCATAATCTATCTAGCTTAAGTAATTGAGATGACATTAATTTGAATTCGATTTTTATCTTTTCTTTTAATGCATAATGAATACGCAGGTATAATTTTCTTCTAAGAAAAGTTTGATCAAATAAAACTTCTAGATTCAGCACAAATTGCAAAATGTTATATCGTAAAGGCAAAGTTTTAAAGTAACCATCCGTCAACTTTCATGTACCTCGACTAATTACAAGATATCCACCACTTCCCGCCACTAATCATCAAAGCATTTTTTATTTTTTTTTGGTTTCTATAGGTCCACATATAAAGAAAATCCTTGTTTTATCACAGTTTTGATTCTTTACAATATAATCTTGAAAACTTGCTCTCATTCATAATTTAACTTAATTGTGAATTGAAATCTTTTATGAGTCTTTGAAGCTCATCAATGATTATTACTAGACCATTACAATACATATATATATATACTAATTCGATCATTACATAAGTTAAGATCTAAATCATTAAAATGCATATATATCATTACATAAATTGAGATATAAGCTATTACAATACATATATAATGATATAACTATACTAAATCGATCGCTACATAAATTGAGATATAAGCCATTACAATACATATATATATATATATATTCGATCATTACATAAGTTAAGATCTAAATCATTAAAATGCATATATATCATTACATAAATTGAGATATAAGCTATTACAATACATATATAATGATATAACTATACTAAATCGATCGCTACATAAATTGAGATATAAGCCATTACAATACATATATATATATACTAATTCGATCATTACATAAGTTAAGATCTAAATCATTAAAATGCATATATATCATTACATAAATTGAGATATAAGCTATTACAATACATATATAATGATATAACTATACTAAATCGATCGCTACATAAATTGAGATATAAGCCATTACAATACATATATATATATATATATATATAATGATATAACTATACTAAATCGATCGTTACATAAATTGTAATGTAAGTCATTACAATACATATATAATGATATAACTATACTAAATCGATCGTTACATAAATTGTAATGTAAGTCATTACAATACATATATAATGATATAACTATACTAAATCGATCGTTACATAAATTGAGACGATTGTAATGGGCCTATTGGTAGGTGTTGGTTATGAGTAGAGGATCCTAGAGGTGGCTTTTTTTCTTCTTGTTGAGTAATAGTGTGCATTATTGGAAGCATGCATTTATCATTAAATTCATCACGTCTGTCTTCCTTTTGTATTTCTTTTATTATATTTTATCAATAGAAAGGAAAAGAAAGAAAGAAAGTGTGTCAGTCAGTGTGGGGAAGGAGAACTTATGTTAGTGTGTATTGGGATCTGAAAATAACTGTCTCAATTGAAAGGGACACTACATATATAAGATCCCCAAATCCTTACTTTCTTAAACACTACTGCATGCTCTCTTCTCATCTTTAATTCCTTATTTGCTCATTATTATTTTCTCCGTTTATTTTTATTTATTTCAGTATTAATTTGATAAAAGAGAATAATATTTTTTATTTTTGAATTGACACATCTATTAAGAAAACAATAATTGATATAGTGAATTTATCATTTTACCCCTATTAATTATGAAGTGAATGAATTAAAATTTAAGATTTTCAAGAAGTTTTTATCTTTTTTTTTTCAAAGTAATTAATTGAGGGTATAATAGGTAAAAAAAAAATTGTCCTTTCTTGATTTGTCAAAATGGACAAGTAATTAGAGACAGAAAAAAGGAAAAATGTACTAGTAATTAGACACATATGGAGTATTTTTCCTATATATATCACTTTTGGATATACTAAATTCGATATTTTTGGAAAATGTATTGAAAAAAGACTAAATTAAGAACTAAGGGCTTGTTTGGTACGAGAGATCATAAGAAATAATAATTAATCTTAGAATCAGTTTTAGAATGAGTTTGTTTCATATATATTTAGTTGAGATTAAATTACGGGATAATTTATCATAAAATTATAATGTTAATTTTATCCCATATCAAAGCTGAAATAACAATCTTGAGATAACTAATTTTGGAATAACTTATTTCACAATCAGATGAGCCCATTAATAAAGTAAAAGTGAACCAAGAGAGTAGTTGAAAAAAAACATTAAATGCCTCTCCGGCAATTAGAGGGGTGGGACTGATTTGCAGACTGTATTTATTATTCTTTTCTATTTTAATTTGTTTGATCTATTTTTTCTTGGTATGATGCTTAAGAAAGTAAAATAATAATAATTGAGTCTTTGGTCTAAAATATCTTTTAATCTTGTAGTTAAATACCTTATGAAAAGTTGACATTAAAAAACTGTTGAAAAAAAGAAAGAAGATCACTTTTTTTTAAACAGATTAAAATAATATATAGTAGATCAAACAAATCGAAACAAATAGTATAAAAAATGTAAGGTAAGTGAGAGTTTATCCTACATTTTCTGAGGGAAATAAGTGATGATGATGCTGGCCAGTGCCCACACGTACTCCTTCTGGCCTTGAAGTTTAGTAGCAGTTGATAGCACAGTCCATTATTCATTCTGTTAGTCTGCAGGCCACAAAATCACAGATGCAGTACTAGTAGTATTATATATGGGATGAAAGTAAAAAAAATAAAAAATTTATAGTCTTATATTAAAAATATGTCAAATGTATCAAAATATCTTTTAATTTTGTGGTCTTAAGCATGCTATGATCAAAGTTGAAATCAAAGAGTTGTCAAAAAGCAGAAAGAGATATTCTTTTTTCAACGAATTATAAGAAATAGGACAGATAAATTGAAACGAAGGAAGTAATTGTTATGTTTCTTAACAGTGTGGCAATAAGTTAATCATCCATTTATGATTTATTGCAACCTCTCTATTTCTTTTGTTGCTTAATTTGTTCTAAATTTGGTGTAACTTAATTCAAGCACAAATTAGATGAATATGTGTATTCTCTTGTGGTGTGTGTTTGACCTAAATTTCTTTATCATAATTGAGTTTTTTTTGTTTTTGTTTTTGACAACTCGTAAATTGAAGTTCATTCCTTCTAACTTGGTATAGCATCCACACACTTTAATAATCTTATTTAGGGGGGAATTTGCAAGACTCAATTGTTACCTTGTTATTTGTTCGGACTTCTTTTTTCTGAATGAATTTTGTGAGGTTATTTCTATTGTTATTTTGAACTCTATTTTATGTTGAGTAATAGATTACTCATCTCTTTTCTCTTTTGTTATCTGATTTATCATACTTCAAGACTGTCAGTTTTCACATGTCACCTAGTTATTTCGTAGGTTAACTTAGGAGTAAATAAGTAAATAATTAGTTTTTGTCTACCAAATTAGTTGGGATTTACTAGTGGAAAATTTGACTAGCAACTTGTGAAATTTGTGGCCAGGGTTGTAAACATTGGATGCTTTTTTGCTCAATATTTATGAACTAAAATTCAGTAATTATAGTATTAGCTTTTGGCCTGTTATGATTGTAGCCAACTCTACTCTTAGAGCAGATTGTGGCCTGTCAAAATATCTATCTAAATTTATTGTATTCCTTAGGGTTTAGCGGTGGCAGAAAAGAAAAATTAACCTATAAATCCATTATAGATTAAAATTAAGTCTCATCGTCTTTATAAGTTCGAAACTCATAATGAAAAAAGTCTTGCTAAAAAGCATTTTTTCTTTAATCAGTCTCGTATGTCTCAAAAATCAAAAAATTTAATACTAATATCAAACATCAAATGAAAAAAAAATTAATTCCAAAAATTTTCGGATCTAAAGCACTTACTTTAGTGGCTTGACCCTTGAGGCATCTAAACTTTTATCATATGGGGGTTTGATTCCATTTAATTCCTTTCCATTTATCCACCACCAGCCTCTAGATCTCCCTATTTAGGAAAATTAATCGTTTATAAGTTTGATGACAAATTCAGAATTCATATATTTTAATAGTGATTCTACCTCTGTCAGCACTAACGTTTCATTATAAGTGAATTCAAGATTTAAAAATCAAATTTTATTCTATGTACACATACATTTTAAAAAAAATATTAATATATGTATACATAATTCAAATAGAAATCACAAATTATGAGTTGTGACCTTTCCCGCAGGGCATCAAGCTAGGTAGGATTTATAGTATTTAAAACGAATATTGAATATTTCTGGTGAATATACCTTCCCTTTTCCAGTTAATTAATTAGCCAATGGAACAGTTGATTGGAATTTGATCATTCCTTTCCTTTCTACCGTTGTTATTGAATGATAATACTAATTAAATTTAGAGTAACTTTTGCATATAGCCATTCAAAAATAGTCTAATCTCACTCCATAGCTATAGTTTGCTAATTACAATTTGTAGCTACATGTTATAGGGAGGAGAGTGGCGAATGAGACTGGGAGAGAGAAGAGAGATGCGAGCGAGAAAGGGAAGAGAGTAGGAAAGTGGTGAATTGTATTTGTATATCGGTCAGACAATTGTATATTATACATATGTATTTGCATATTATGGCGAGCGAGATTGGGAGAGGGAGGAGAGAGGCGAGCGAGAGAGGACAATAATTTGTATAATTCGCGTGTTTTTGTACAATTGAGTAATATAAAATCTGAATTATACAAATATAATAAAACTCGAAATAACGAATTGATACAAACATAAACATATGAACTTTAAACAATTATACAAAATATACTATACAAATTACATTATTTAAATTATATTATACAAAATCCGAAAACTACACGTTTATACAAACTTTAAAAAGTTATACACAAAAAGATTGAATGTATATGATGACAAAACTGAAAAACCAAAGGAAATCATCGTCATATACAAATACAAATCAAACAAAGAATTGTTAGTTGCGAATTATACAAATGTGACAAATTATACATATACAAACGTTGGCTAATTATACAAACTTGAAGTCAGCCCACGTAATTAATGGTTAATGTTAGTCGCGAGTGGTGATTATATCAAACTATAGCTATGATGAGTAATTAAGTAGTATAAGTTTGCTTAACCGCGTATTTTTCCCTTAAATTTATTAGGGTTGTGGTGCAGTGGTGGGACTGCTTCATCCTTAATAAGAGGTCTCATGCACATTCGAGCCCTGGATATGAAGAAAATATTGTTGGGAGCATCACCCCCTAATGGACCTGTAATGCGCGATCCAAATTTAATTAGGACTTCAATTCGTACTCCGAATGCCAAAAACAATTTTTAAAAAATAGTAATTTAAATTCATTAAGTTAATTAGTGAATTATGTCCTAAGTCCAAGTTGGTGCTGCTGCATGCAAAAAATCTCACTGCAAGTGGTCCATTATATATGTGTGTACTAAGTGGCAAAGTCTTTCAAGAGCTTGCATATTATTATTATTGGTTTGTTGGTCCCTCCTCTACAATTGAGCATATATATAGCTTTGGGGATACCACTACATCTCCACTAGTTTTTCTAATTACTAATTTGTTTCCTTTTTTGAGACTTAATTAATTAATTACTCATCAACATTCTTATTTTCATGTGTTTCCTAATCTTTAATTTCTTCATCTTAATTATGTAAGCATCTTTCAAAAATTGCACAAACAAATTGTACATATATATATAGTTTCTTTATAAATTAAAAGAGAATAAGTATGGTACTATACTACCAACTTTTGTCAAGGATTTCTGGTATTTCTTTTCTGCTAATTTACTTGTGCATGCATATGTAGTAATCCCTTTCCTTCGTCTCAATTTATGTGATGTACTCGATTAAAAATCAACAATAATAATAACATATTTAGTGTAATATATCTCATAAGAAAGTTTTGAAAAGGGTGATGTGTATATGCAGTTTATCCCTATTTTGTGAAGGTAAATAGATATTTTTCGATAGATCCTCGGATCAAGTAAAATATATTAAAATTATTGAGAAAGGAAATAATATAGTGAAGAACCTTGTAGAAAACAATGGAGAAATGAACATTATAAATAACAAATAGCATGATAATCAAAGTAATAAGAAAATAATAAATAAGTTGAATTAAAGAATAAGATAGTAGAAGGGTACTAATAATAATATTGATAAGAAAATTAGATCAATCTCGAGTATGAGATGAGGCTAATTAGGGCTCACTTGGAAATGCGATACAAATCATGATTTGAAATCAGATTAACTTGAAGTTAAAGTTTTGTTTGAATGTGTAATTCGGATTTCTTGGGTTGTGTTTTTTCTTATAAACATGAAAATCCTACAAATTATAAAAACCATCAAATTTTTTCCAATTCTTATACAATCTTATCAAATGAGTAAATCATAATTCATAAACAAAAAACCATAATATCCTAAGACGCCACATTAAAAAATTACATATCTCCATGTATCTTTTATAAATAGATGATTGCAATTATAAATTTTTAAACACACATAATTCCATAATGGTCCACTATTCAACAATAGTAGTAAATACTTATTATTTTATATAATCATTCCACATGTAACCGACAATCTCTTCACAACAAACATATATTTTATTTTTATTTTTTGCAAAATTTTAAAGTCGGATGATTAGCCATTTATTTTAATTTGTACTACTACTATAGTTAGCAGAAAAGCAATAAACCCTTTTCGTTTCTTCTTTTTTTTTCTTCTAACCCTAGGGTGGTCCTTGTGAGGTTAACAGTGTACCTTCCTTTCTTAGCATCATTAAATAGTATCAAAACTTAAAATTAAAATATGAAACTGCTAGAATGACTAGCTTCTTGACTAATTGACTGTTAAAACAAAAAAATCACTTCATGATGGAGTAGTCTAAATACGAGAAATTAAATTTCTATTGCATTATTATTTAACTAGCCTATGGACAAAAAGAGTTATCGATAGCGACTATATATACAAATAATATAAAAGTCTATACACAATCGATACATAAAACTTAAACTATTCATTTTTCTCAACCCTAGGATTGAATTACGTGTCAGCATGAGTAAGCGCCACGTGGCCTTCTACTTTCCTCTTCTGAGATAATATTATGACATAGTGAGAATCCAACATTTCTTCTTTTTCTCCAAACCATAACTTATCCTTGTAAATTTATTCTCTCTTGGTCATATTTGGTCCATAAACTCATTTTCGCCCCAAGGCTGGGGGAAATTATTATAAAAGAAGTTGAATGTTATCAAGAGTTGTTAATTCCATGTTGAGGTTTTGCTAGCCACTCAGATATATACAAGTTGTAGTTTATCTTCTACAAAACCTAATTATGTAAGTACAATTCATGACTCTTTTAGTAATTGTTTATACAAAGTTTTAAACATCTATTTTTTTTTAGATCTTAGTCATTCTTACAAAGTCTTGGTTTTTAGTGAAATGATTTTGGAGGTTGCCCTAATATTAATCACAACTCCAATTTTCCCCAAAAATTGCACTATGTACACAATAAAATTTTCATTGATGGAGTTATATTGGTGGTTCTTTTTTTGTGCATAGAAGAATATTTTATCTCGATCTAATAGATGCTTGATATTTTTCGTTATGTTGTTGATTTCTACTAGATCGATGATGATGATGAACGATATATGACACACATATATATATCATGAATTCATCAAGTGGAAATAATTTTCAGACGAAGCAAGAATCCAATGATAGTAAATTGAGCTCAAAGACGACTAGTGCACCATCAAGTTCAAGGCAATGGGGAGTTAATAAAAACCCAAGAATAGTACGCGTATCGCGTACTTTTGGAGGGAAAGATAGGCATAGTAAGGTGTGCACGATAAGGGGGCTTAGAGATCGAAGAATTAGACTTTCAGTTCCAACTGCAATTCAATTGTATGATCTTCAAGACAGGCTTGGCCTGAGCCAACCTAGTAAAGTTGTAGATTGGCTACTAGAAGCAACTAAACTTGATATCGATACTCTTCCACCACTTCCTGTACCACCTGAATACTTCACTAGGTTTCAACAACCACCCCATGAGGAGTACTCTGATCTCCAACAAGTTCGTTCTCAATGGTTCAACGCGAATAGTGCACCTTATTTGGATCATGGAAAAAACAAGTCAATTGCTTCAAATCATCATGAGGAATCAAATCAAGAGGATAATCATGTCTTTACATTAGGCAATCATCGATCATCTAATTTACCAGCCATGCCTTTCAATTCTTATAACTATCAATGGGATGATCAGCCTAATTCGAATTTGTCTTTAGGTCATTTTGGACACAATAATTCATTCTCATCCCAAATAGATGATGATCATCAATCTCATCAAAATACTAGTTTCCCTCTATCATTGGGATCATCATCTTCGCCTTTTCCTTCCAGTTCTCAATTGTATTTCAATCCAATAACAACAACATTTCAACCTATAGTTCCATCTCCTAATTATATGACAAATCATCATCCCATTGATCCCAGGGCTAATATGAACCATTTCAATTTCTTAAGCTCAAATACTTCACACAATAATCCACTTGTGATGCCAACTCTTAATTTGATCAGTTCCCAAATAAAACCCTTTAGTCTCAATGATGATCCTAGATGGATGAGTTCAAGAGATGATGATGATGACGATGATGATGATGATGATGATGATGATAACCAACCACATGAAGGTCGCGCAATTTAATTCTAAATCAAGTGAAGGAAATGAATCTTCGTCTTTACTTCAAATATTTTGAATTAAAGTTGTTGTCCTGGATTATTCATGAGCAAACATAATCATGCTACATTATTCCTTCTTCACAGGTACAACAAATAATTAAAGTGAATCATTCTATTTCTTGTTCCATATAGGTTTATAAAGTTTTATCTCTATTCTGAAATATACAAATATTAATCTGTAGTTTTTTTTTGTTTTTGGGTGATTCTAAGTGGTATAAATCTACATTATTATTGGTATTGGATTAACCTTTTATACAAATTGAAAGTGTGTTTAGCAATAATTTTTTCATTTTAGTTTTTCTTGAATAAGTAGTACTCCTTGGATTTGCATCATTAATATGTCATGGTTTAACCGAAATCTCGATAGTAGAAGAGGAGAAACTCCAATCGAAGCAAAGGTTGGGTTTGTTCTTGACTCCTCACAACCTTAAGGTAATTGCAAATATGATGCAACAGATCTGGAACTATATTCACGTAATTACGTCAACCAGTTGTTGTTGATATCTTCTTCTCATTTTTCTTTTTCCATAACCAGAGCTTGGAGAAGGAAGAGATAAGATGCCCCTATGAAGAATATAGTTAAAAATCCATAATAGGATCCAACCACAATGTTTGAATTGATTTTAGCCAAAAAAAATATCTTATAAAAGGTAACGAAACTATTCAAGTTCAATTTTGTCAAGTAAAATCGATACATAACATATCATGCTTAGGTGTGTACTAATTATAGACCTAACTAGTAATATAATTAATTACTTCATCATCTTCTTTAATTTAACTAGAGAAACAAAAAGTTTCTTTCATATCTAATTAGGTTTAGACGAATTAGTTGTAATTTGTAATTGTCTTTATAAATATATTCTTCTTCCTGATAACAAGAATAACTTCTCGTCTCAAAGTTTTGCTCTTGTAAGTATGAGTCTTAGTGTCTTACGGTTTAAGAGCATGAATAGGGGTCGAGTTCGAGTCTCACCGCCACTCATTATCAGATTTTCACGTTCTTAGAGTCAGGTGGCACTGGAGATATACACTACACCAAAAATGATCAATAGCTAATTAATTGCCGTTATATATATATATAGCGACATTAACACTCTTTGTAAATGTCCCTAAAGCCTATATCGATATTGAATCTAATGACATTTAACTAATGCTGGTAAAGATTTTAACACTTTTTATTAATGTGTATATTTATTGCTGTTAAAAGTTGTTTTTGTTGTAGTAATATAATGAGCAATCACTAACATACTTTCTTATTTTTTATTTTCTTATGCAAGCTATTCATATAAACAAAATTAGGTTGTTTCTCTATAAATTGCAATCAGTTTTTTTTTTTCACTACTCTAATTTGCTAGTTATTTATTGGAAGTAATTAAGAACCTATATGAGTCTGATCATGAGTTAGAATATATTGGCAGATCTTGGACTTAATTGTTTGTGAGACCACAACGATATTTGGGACCAAAAGCATCTAAAATTTGCTTCCTGGAGCTTGAAAATAATCTATATTATTATTGTATAATGTTGACAATTTCTCTCCATACTACACCCAACTAGTAGTGAATATCATATGAGATTGTCACACACAGTTTTATATGGTATCAGAGTCACGTCTTTGGCCTATAGAAAGAGAGTCACGCCCACACATAATCAGGAGGCATATTGAATATGCTTTCTCTAACAACTTAAACTTTTAGATGAGATGATCACATATTTCAACATTCCTAATAAACGGAGATGAATTTTATGAAACTGCATGCCTGCAAAATTAAAGAAGTAATTCTTTGTTAGTTGTTACTAAGTAGTATATTAATTATTACTATACCCTATTTGCCGACCTAATTAACCCCTTGTATCTAAGCTAATAATTAATTAGCTTGATATAGACATAGAAGTAGAATAGTAGTAGTCATATATATAGGAATGGTATATTTCCCCGCATGCATATAGATGTATGTTAAAGTCCACCTCCTACGCTCATTATATTATCAAAATAAGTTTGATTTGCTATTAACTAATTAAAGACGCATGTCTACTACGTGGTAATTTGCATTCTATGTGTATATTATGGCAAGTAGGATATATGCAAGTCCACTTGTTTAATTTATATAAGTATAAATATCTACTTGTATACATCAAAATAGGAGGGCATAAATTTTTTTGGAACATCTTGAGGTATTAAACATACCATGTTGGCTGCTTGTCAAATTAAGAAAAAAAATACATTCTTTTTTAAATAGAGTAAAAAAAAGTAAGCCGAATAAATATTGTCCGTGTACTCTTCGAAATTAATTAAGTTGTCCCCGCACTGTTTTTTTTTTTAAACCCCTCCCCCC